TCACCATTCCCATCGCTATCACCATCATCAGCATCATAATAATCGTCGTCATCATCATCAGCATCAGTATCATCCTCATCATCAGCATCATCGCGGTGTGAATCACCGCTGTGGGAAACATTACCGCCGCCGTCAGCACTGAGCTAATGTTGCTCACATCGTAGTTAATGACCAAATCCCAGAAATAAGTTCCAGCACCCAGACAAGTATCGAAATAGTGTCGAACAAGTGTCGCCTCCCAGGGCCCGACACGCGAAACCCCACAAAGTTCGGCACTTTCTTGGTGCTGACATTCTTTTTGGTGCTCAAAACCAATGTAGGTTGGAACATCAGAACATCATAACTAAAGGCCTCCTAGATGGGGTCGGAGTAGATGGGGTCGGAGGATCTCGCCGCATCGGCGAAGCATCGGCGATGCATCGTCGATGCATCGGCGATGCATCGGCGATGCATGGGCCATGCACTGGCGACGTCGGCGGTACATCCACGACATCGGCGTGGGGAAAATTCGGCCCCACATCGAGCCGCATTGCCGATGCATCGCCGATGTATCGGCGATGCGGCGCTCTCCTAGGCTACTCCGAGTTTCTTGACAAGCGTCGGGGGGGCGTCACCCACGCCGACAGCCCCGCATCGCCCCCCGTCGCGGGGGGCCACCCCGCGCCGAAGGCGCTCCAACCCCCATCGCGGCGCGACGAAGCGGCGAGGTTGACCACCGTCGGGGGGGTACCCCCTCAGGCTTATTATCGGCGGTGGACAAGCCTCCCTTTAGTAAACCTCCCTTCAGTGAAAACGGCCTAAGACCGGAACAGACGAACCTGGACCCGAAAAACTGACGGCCGCGACGCCCTCTCGCAAACCGAAAACGGCCCATTCACTGATCGACGTGCCAGGGTAGGAGGTCGATCAACCTCCGATACTACGAGACCCAGAGCAAAGCAGGTGAGAACATCATACATAACACTGAGCACGAGGAAGGCAGGCTCGAGATTGCGGCCCACAAGGTTTTGGACGCCCGAAATGGGCACGGAAAGAATGGGCACAATGCCCAACAACGAATGTTGTTCCAAACAAAAAGCGGCCGCTGTTGGGCTGGTGGCCTTCTGTCTCGAATGGACACAGGCCGCCGCGGCGCGGACAGCGGGTCCTGTCCAAAATAAACAGGAAGTGTTGTTGGGCATTGTACCCATTCTTTCCGTACCCATGTCGGGCGTCCGGAAAAGTGGAGCTCTGCGCGGCTTCTGGGGCGGGCTGCCCCCGGGCCGGCGCTGACGCCCGGGCCAGCCGGCGCCCTGCCGCGGCGCCGGGGCTGGCCCCGGAGGGAGCGCCCCGAGCAGAGCCCAGGGATCCAACGTGTTGAAAAAATCACGACGGAGGTTTTTCATAATTTTCAACCTGTCGGGGCCCTCGCCGGGCCACGGGACCGCCAAAAAACGATTCAGGACGAGAAGCCGGTCCTGGGGAATGGGTCGATACTTCTGGGGATCGCGTCTTGAACAAATCGCGACGTCGGATCTCTGGGAAGAGGTGAGGTCCAATACGTTTCGGGGGGAGCCAGCCAGCCGAGGGGGGAGAAGCATCGAGCTGGCATCGGGGATACCCATCGCCGAAAGACCGGAGCGGGCGCGAATGAGTAGTCCTAAGTCGGGCGTGTCCCCCTACAGGAGGATGTTCGACGAAAAACAAAAAAAACAAAAAAAAAACTCCAAACTGGTCAAAAAAACTGTTCAAAAATAGTCCCCTGATGTTTTTTTCACTATTTTTGAATATTCCCCCTGTAGAGGGACAGGCCCGCCTTAAGAGTAGTGGGGAGGCGGGGGGGGGGGGGGAAGGGTGCCCTTCGCGGGCCCTTCGCGGGCCCCTTCTTGGGCCTTAGAGCCGGGACGTTGACCTAAGGAACCCTAAGTAAGGAACGAGGCCTCTTTTTCCCATAAGTTAAGCTTCGATGTCCCATAGAAAACCTCGGGACAACCGTCGGCAAACTGTGAAACAATCAGAGAACACCAAGCTCCTCCCCATCGAAAAAGGGTTCCTCCTTCGGCGCCCCGACTGTATAGGCGGCCCCCTTCAAGGGCGATAAAAGAGCCCCTCTTCGGCAGCCTTCGCTGCCGCCCCAAGGATCGCACCCCCTCGCCATCGCTCTCGACGTCCCTTCCCCGTGCATGTCTCGGCTTCGCGCGCGCGCAAGGATGTCCTCGCAAAGCGAACACCATGTTTCCTCGGTTGTCCCTTACTGCGAGGCCAATTTGCATACACCACCACCGCCCGCAACAGTAAATTTCCGCAAAAAAGGTTAGGGGCAGGGCCATGCAAGACGACGCTGCGACGCCACGGCGAAAAGGAACGCGGCGCAGCTCGCAGGCGCCGTGGCATGGGTAATTCCTGGAGCAAAAGCATCACTTTTTGGTGGTGGTGTATAAAAATCGCTCCCCTTGGTAGCCAAAACTATATACACCACCACCGCGCGTGCTTTGATGAATTCTGTTTCGGCCCTTACGGGAGAGGGGGCAGCCCGGTTGCTGTCGACGGCGGGGGGGGGCTGCGGGCTTTTCACCACAGCAAAACTGCACCAAATCGCATTGCATATTATTCTTGATCTTGGTGGTGGTAGTCAGATACTGTGCTCGGACTCGCCGAGGAAAAACGCATACGTCCGAGCGATGTCAAGCCCCCCCTTACGCGCCCCCCCGATCGGAGGGAGGCCCCGACGGGCCCCCGACGGCGCATGCGGACGCGCTCCTGGGCGGGGCCGGTCGGCGATCACCGGGCGACTGCGGGCCAGTGCGCCCCCCCCCCGAAGCGCATGTCCCCCAGCACTGCCCCTGCTTGCCATCGCTAATCGTCCTTTTCCCGTGCATTGATCGGTTTTCCGCGTGCTTTATTCGGGAGGGGAAAAAACACACAGACACATTTAATCGTCGATCCCCTGGAAAATATGGGAAAAGATAGAAAGTGGGGGGGAAGACAAAAACCCTGGGAAATATGGGGGATCCTGTTATTCGTCTCTATCTTTGTGTGTCCCAGGGCCCCTTCATTTATGTTGTTGCTCGAGGACCCAAGATATTTCTCCAGAGCCCCCGCCGAGAAAGAGTACACACGTCCCCGCGATGCCGAGCCTGAGGGGAAAGAGGGCCGCCGGGCCCCGCGTAGCTCCGGGCCCCGCGCAGCTCCGGGCCCCGCGCAGCTCGGGGGAACTGACTGCTGGACTCCGGGCCGCGATCCCGCGGATGCGCGGTCGCACGGATGCGTTCCGCGCGGGGCACCCGCGAAAAAACACCCCGCGTCCGCGGGGTCGCGGCCCATGCAGGGGCCCGGCTCGCGGGGCTCCGAACGCCCGCCTCCGGCGGACGTTCTGCTTTTGGGCACCGTACCCCTTCTCTGCGTACCCGCTTCGATCGGTGCCGATACAGGACGGGCCCTGGAACAAATGGCGGCAGCACCGAGTTCCTGCAGACTCGAGCCTTCGGCTTCCCTGGCTCGGGGGCCCCGCCCGAGCAGGACCCCGCCCCCCGTCGGACGTTCTGCATGGCCCTCCGCACGTTCATGGCGGCCGCCTGCTCGACCCGGCGCTGCTCGTCTTCCTCGCGCTTCTTCCTGATCTGCGCCTCCTGCCGCGCCCCACCTGCTCCTCCTCTTCCTCCCCCTGCTTCTCCTCCTCCTCTTCCACCTCCTCCAGCTCCCGCCCCAACCTCCTCCTCCTCGAACTCCATCCTCCTCCTCCCTCCCCCCCTCCTCCTCCTCCTCCTCAGTATCTCCCCTCTCACACACCCCAATCAATCTTACTGCCTCACAAGACTACAATCCCTACATATCCACTTAACACCAATAAACTCACCTACCTACATCCTCCTCAATACATCATACAACAAAATCATCCTAATACCCTCCTCCTCCTACCTAACTAATCCTAATCATCCATAACTACTACCTCATCCTCTATCCTCTCCTACTCCTCCTAATAATAATCACTACATCACCTCCTAATCCTTCCTCCTACTCCTTCATCCTCATTCCATACTCATAATCCTAATAATACATCACCATCATCCCTTCATAATCATCACTCCTCATCATACTACTAATCATCCCTATCCTCAACTCTCATACGACTCATCATAATCATTCCTAATCCTCCTCCTCACTCACTCACTACTTCCTACATGAATCACAGACTAATACTCAGCTCACTCATCCTCACAGCCTCATACTCAATACCCATCTTTTCCTCCTCCTATTATCCTAACTAAAGTTCATCCCACCTACTCGATATCTCCTACCTCCCTCCCTCCTCTCCCTCCCTCTTGTCTCCTCTCCTCCTCCACCGTCCTCCTCTTCCTCCTCCTGACTCACTCCTCCTCCTCCTCCTCCTCTCCTCCTCCTCCTCCTCCTCCTCCTCCTCCCCCTCCCGCCTCCTCCTCCTCCTCCTCATCGGCCTCCTCCTCCTCCTCCAACTCCATCCTTTATCATGATGAATGAATCATCCTTGTCGCACCCTCCCCATCCTGAGGGGCCGGCGCCGCGGCGGAGGTGACTACGAGCGTCTGCCCGCTCCCGAAGAGGGAGGGGCGCCAAGGATATCAAGACAGACGACGATGCATTTGTTCCAAACACGATTTAGGCAACTACTTGCGGGTCTTCGTCGGAAGGACAGGGGAGAATGAAGGCCCATTGGGGGCTAACACCAGATGAGGCCGCGGATTCAGCGGGATAAAACTGGACAGAACGGGATTGAACAGGATTTACACAATTTAAACAGGATTCCGGACCAGGCCAGAATTTGACCTCCCAGGAATTGCATTCGAACATCCTGTGGTGTCGGGTCCTCGTTTGCAAGAGACAGCGCCCCGCGTTCCGGACTTATCGTCCACTCTTCCTCCTCATCCTCCTCCTCCTCGTCCTCCTCTCCCTGCTCATCCCCGGGCCGATGCCGCTCCATCCTGAGTAAGGGGAAAAGCGCAGGGAACGCCCGGGGCGCCACTAAGAATTCTTGGAACAAGACGAGCACCCTTGCGTAACCCTTTTTCCAGGGAACGGCAAGGCGACAGTGTCGCAGGAAAGTGGTCCGCATAGATGGCCAAAAATCGGCTTTCCTGCCGTTGCGGGCGCGGAAACAAGGCCAGTACTGGAATCCGGGTTTGGATGGCCATTCCTGTAGAATGACATTGGTTGGCATCAACCACCTCAAGCCCACAGCTAGCACGCACATGCAGGGCATTCGAGGTAACTGGTCCGCGTGGATGGCCCAAACTCGGCCATCCTGCCGTTGCGGGCGCGGCAAATTCACTGGCAGCCCTGTAGATGGCCGATTCTGGTTGTTGGGCGTTGCGGGCGCGGCAACTGCATGCCACTACTGGTATCCCGCGGGAGCCAGATTTGGCTTGGATGCCCTGCCGATGGACAGGCGTTGGCATCCAAAGGCGGCGCTCCGAAGGGGGCAAGAGGACGGGGGTCGGCTTCTAAGCAGGCAGGGTGCTCCTCAGAAGCCCTAAGAGGACTTCTCTTTCGTCCTCCGGGGGGTCCGGTGAATCACGTTGCTTACTAGATAGCCTTGCCCAGTTCCCCCCCCCGGCCCCGTCGGCGCGCGGCCAACATCTCGAGCAAACAGCCAGAATGCCTAAACCTATTCTTTGGCAGGCCTGACATCCACACCCTCGCAACGAGGGCACATCTGGGCATTCGAGGAAACTGGTCCGCGTAGATGGCCGGAGCTCGGCCACCCTGCCGTTGCGGGCGCGGCAGCTGTCTGCCAGTAATGGTATCCTCCGGGAACCAACTCTGGCTTGGATGGCCAGCCCTGTCGGTTGACGGGCGTTGGCATCCATAACCTCGAGCCCAGAGCTAGGATGCCCGCCCGTCTCCAGGGGACCCTGCGGCATCCTGCCCTCGCAGCGAGGGCAATACTAGGCAACCGAGGAACCCGGTCCGCATAGATGGCCGAAGCTCGGCCATCCTGCCGTTGCGGGCGCGGCAACGTAATGCCACTACGGGTATCCCGTGGTATGTACCCTCTCGTCGAGTGGTACGAGGTTAAGGCGCCCCTTACGCCGCGGCTCCCCGCCAACCACATGTCCATTCTGGCATACCCCTCACACGCGTCGTGTCCGAGTAGGGAGCTCTACCGAGGGTCCCAGTGGCAGGATCCACATGCGGCTCCGCGCCGACCACATGTCCACTTCGGCAGGCCCCTCGCACGCTTCGTGGCCACATCGGGAGCTCCACCTGAGGCCCCCGTGGCAGGATTCCCATGCGGCTCCCCGCCATACGGATGTCCAGTCTGGCATACCCCTCACACGCTTCGTGGTCGCATGGGGAGCTCCACATAAGGTCCCAATGCGTGCGGCCAAATGGGTCTGCCCCGCTCACCGCATGAACTGTTCGGCAAGCCCCTCACTCCTTCCGTGGCCCCATACGGGGTTCCACTTGAGGCCCCAGTGGCAGGGTCCACATGCGGCTCCCCGCACACTTCGGCACACCCAAGCGTCCATCTTCCTCCTCCACCTCGATGACCACCCCGCTCCTCCTCCTCCTCCTCCTCCTCCTCCTCCTCCTCCTCCTCCTCCTCCTCCTCCTCCTCCCCCTCCTCCTACTCCTCCTCCTCCTCCTCCTCCTCCTCCTCCCTCCTCCTCCCCCCCCGGCCAGGGCGACAACTCCCGGGAGGTTCTCCCGAAGACCGGCGAGAGGCCATGCGCACCCCAAGTTGCAAGGCCACAGTCAGGATTTGAAGACGTTGCCAGGGCCGAAGCCAGGTTGAGAAATGTTCTGCGGGGTGGATCGGAAGTACACTGGCTTTGGAGAGTTTTCGACTACGGATGTACCAGCGCCGATGCTGAATTGAACCTGCCTGGAGTTGCATCCTGCCTGATTGCGTTCTGGCCAGAATTGCGAGACGAATCCTCCTGTGGAGAGTCCACCCATGGCTCGAGGGGGCAGCACAAGGTGGGGTAGGGATCCGCTGGAAGAAATGCGAGCATCCAGCTAGGTCCGCTCCCTAACCCCACCTTGGGATAGCCCACCTCTGCTTGGCATGAAACAAGCGGTTCCTGAAGGGAACAGGTCCTGGGACCCGGGGCCTCGCCCCAGGACCGCATCGTCATCCCGAGGCGTTGTTTGACGCTCCCCGGACCCGGGAAGGGCCCCATTGAGGCCGACAACGGCCACAACTCATTTCCCTCAGGACCCGTTTCCCTCGGTGCCTGTTTCCGTGTCGCTCCCACCGCCCAATCCGGCGGAAGCTGGACCTAGCACCGAGGGTCGTGCGGGGGGGGAAAAGAGGGAAGGGAGGGGAAGGGAGACGAAACGCGGTCCCGAACGGGAGTGCCGCGACAAGGGCGGGGCCCGTGCCGCACCACCCCCGCCACCGCTGAGCAGCCAGTCAGACATCCCTCCCGAGGGGGGCGGGACAGTTTGGAGTCCCGAAACGGTGCGGTGACAGACCGTGCGGTGACCTCGGAACCCCAAGAGACCTCACCGCGCGGTCCGTCACCGCACGCCCTGGAGGCCCCTGCAGCCCGAGACATCCTCGGAGAGGGTCTCGAGTCCCAAAACCGTGCGGTGACCCCGAATCCCCACCGACACACCACACGGTGTGGTCACCACGCCGTCTGGGGGCCCCCGAGCAACAGGGCGCGCGGGGGGGGCCGCGGGGCGCCGGAGGCCCCCCTGCCCGCACGGCCCGCCACGACGTGGGCCGCCGCACCCCCCCCCTGCCGACGGTCCCTCACACTGCGGGGGGGGGGCCACCGACTCACCACACGGTGTGGTAACCAACCCGTCTGGGGGCCCCAGAGACAGGCCGCCCAGGCTCCTGCTGGAGCCGGAGCTGCTCCTGCTGCAGCCGGAGCTGCTCCAGCTGGGCCCTGCGCTGCTGCTCCGCCTGCTGCTGCTGCAGCAGCCGCTCCTGCTCCTGCTGCTGGTAGTAGGCCTGCAGGCCCTGCTGCCTCGGCAGACGGGCGGCCCCTGACTCCTCTTCTTCCGTCGGGGGGGCTTGCCTCCTCCTCCCCTCCTCCTCTCCCTCTTCTCCTCCTCTCCTCCTTCCTTCCTCCTCCTCCTCCTCATCCTCATCCCCCTCCTCGTCCTCGTCCTCGGTCTTCGTCCTCGTCCTCTCCTCCTCATCCTCATCATTCATCATCCTCCCCTGCCTCTTGCTACCCCCCTGCGCTTCTGTTCCCCCCCGCCCCCCACCTTTGCTCCTCGTCCTGCCCCTCGATCTGTTCCTAGCCTCCTCGCCCCATCCGCAGCCTCCTCTTCCTCCTCCTCCTCCTCCTCCCTCCTCCTCCTCCTCCCCTCCTCCTCCTCCTACTCCGCCTCCCTCCCCTCCTCCTTTCATCCTACTCCTCTGCCTCCTCCACCTCTCCTCGTCCTCGTCCTCCGTATCGGCTCCTCCTCCTCCTCCTTGCTCCTCATCCTGCCTCCCTCCGCTCCTCTCCTGCTCCTCCTCCCCCTTCCTCCTCCTCCTCCTCCTGCTCCTTGCCTCCTCCTTCTCCTTCCTCCTCCTCTCTCCTCCTCCTCGACTGCTCCTCCTCCTCCTCCTCCCTCCTGTCCTCCTCCTCCTCCGCCTCTCCTCCTACCTCCTCCTCCTCTCCTCCTTCCCCCTCGTCCTCCTCCTCCTCCTCTCCCTACTCCTCATCCTTCCTCCTCAACCTCCTCCGCCTACTCCTCAGCCTCCGCTCGGCGCGCTCCTGCCCTCCTCTCCTCCTCCTCCTCCCTCCCTCCTCCTCCTGCTCCTGCTGCTCTCATCGTACTCGTCCTGCGTCCTCTTCCTCATTCTCCTCCTCATACTACTGATCCTCCTCTCCTCCTTCCTCATCCGCTCTCTTCCTCGACTTTCCCTCCTCTCCTCTCCTCCTCCTCCTCCTCCACCTGCTCCTCCTCTTCCTCCTCCTCCTCCTCCTCCTCCTCCGCCTGGTCCTCCTCCTCCCACCCCCTCGGCAATGATAGTAGCAGGGTGGTATTAGCCCAGTTGCTGGGCCTACAGCCAAATGCCAGCGAAACTTTGACCCGCTCCAGGACCGCAGGAGTCCGGGCGCGATGCGGATGATAGGTGAGCTGTGGCTACTGGCCTCCTCCACCTCCTCCTCCTCCTCCTCCTCGTCCTCCTCCTCATTGTCATCCTCATCATCCTCATCCTCATCCTCATCCTCATCAGCATCAGCATCAGCATCAGCATCAGCATCAGCGTCAGCATCAGCATCATCGTCATCATCATCAGCATCATCATCATCATCATCATCATCATCATCATCATCATCATCATCATCAGCATCATCAGCATCAGCATCATCACCATCCTTCTCCTCTTCCTCCTCCTACTCCTCCTACAGAAATGGGGATTTGTTGTTGGGATATGGAGGGTGCTGTTGTGTCGCGAACCTCTTCGGGATCGTTCGAGACGGTTTACTGGAACCGCGCACCATTTACAACAGCTTATGCTACAGCTGCACGTTCACATGCAAGCATCGTCTGAGACTCCTCTGCGTTGGTCGAAAACGCATTGCTTTCCATCTTCCCGGAGCCGAAACGCAAAAAAGGGTTGGGAGGACAGCGGGCGGTTCACACAACGAACTCCTTTTCTACATAGCGTTCTACCAGGCTTTATGGGACAGGGGGGAACACACCTACAACCGAGCTTATGCTTTGTGGGTATGCGCGACACCGTGGACGGGAGCAGGCCATCGCCACGGCTGCGATCACCCCGCGCGCGGCTAGCGGCTGACCGACGCCCCCGTGCCACTGACTTCCTGGATCTGTCGTGTGCGGCTGCCTGCCCGCGGCGGACCTGGAACCGTATGCAGCCCGCGCGTTTCGCAGTGCTGTTGATCGCAAGCAAATGTGCCAACGTCTGGAGCACGCGTGCACCGTCATCGACGACTCCACCTGGGGGGGATCGAGTATACAAATGGGGCACCGGTACCCTCCCAGGATATTCCATCGCTGGTCCATTGTTCTTCGAACCTGGCCACGCGTTTCTGAACGAGATCACTTCCGTCCACCCCGACATGCACGTGTGGACACTCCTACGCAGACGACTTTAGCAAAACATGCACTAGGCTTCAGATGCTTTGGACCTTCGTGGGAGATCGCTTGGATATGCCAGGACATGCACGCGTGTGTTTGCAGCACGGAATATGCAGCACAATCCTCGGAAGTATGAATCGTTGGTTAAGTCTTGTGGTGCCAGGGCAGACGAGTACACTAGATCGGTCTACCAGGAACCACCCATGTCGCAAGGGACTGTCTTGCATGTTGCACGGTACTTGGGACCACATTTGTTTGTCGGAACCCCTGTGAATTTCGAACGGGGCAAACGACTCGAGGCGATCCGACGGGGCTATGGGGCACTGGGTACATTATGGGCAAGTTCGCCACGCCGACGGTGGAGTGGAGCAGTGTTCCAATGCATGGTGTCTGGGTCTGGGCTCAGTGGCCTGGATGCGCTTGTTCTCTCCAGTACGAACACACAGGCGCTGGACAGGGAACTCGCCACCCTTGCCCGGAAGGTCATGCGAGGAGCAGGCGACAAAATCCTACGAGACGACGGGTCAACAAAATACTGGGCCTGGACAAACCACAGGGTACGTCGGGAGCTGGGCCTAGCACCCATCGAAGTGTCTCTCCGAAGTAGGCGCCTCAAAATGTGGCAACGTGTTGTCCGGCATCCAGGCGAGTACAGGTGTCTCATTGCTGCATGTTTTGATATTTGCCCAGAGACGTCCAACCTACACTCGATGGTGATCGCAGGATGCGCGGTACCGCGCACCGATGGGCCTTGCAGAGGGCTCACGATCTCTGGGCCCTTGCATCCGCTTCGGCAAAGCATCGCCTCTCGGAGTGCGCCGACCGACCTCTGCAATTAGTTCAATCGACTGTGTGCCGTGCAGAAATTCTGTCCTCCTCCTCCTCCTCCTCCTCCTCCTCCTCCTCCTGCTCCTCCTCGTCGTCCTCCTCCTCCTCCTCCTGCTCCTGCTCCTGCTCCTCCTCCTCCTGCTCCTCCTCCTCCTCCTCCTCCTCCTCCTCCTCCTCCTCCTCCTCCTCCTCCTCATGTGTGCACACTGCCATCGAATGTGGTGCATTCTGCCGCATCACCCAAGCTCCACGCCTGCAGCGGTAGCGGCCCCAGCAGGAGCAGGAGTACCAACCAGAGAACCAGAGGGCCCGGGGGGAGGACGGGGAGGAAGAGTGGGAGTGCCGACTTGCGTATGATCACGGTGCCGTGCGTCACCGACTCTTTGTCAGTAGACTGGCGATGCGGATGCATCAGATACACTCTTCGTTTGGGGGGAGATCAGAGCTCGAACAGTGTCAATCAATGCTGTGCGTGCCGGGCCAACCACTCATCCGTCAGCATTGCGAGGCATCATCTGCGAAGAGGTGTGCGACGAAGGTTATGTGACGCCCGATGGTGGGGACGGAGTGCAATTGTGCAACTTGTCATGAGCTCATTGTTCCCCCCTTATTCTTGCCACATCTGCGACATTGAGTTCGAGCCTGCCGCTCCTATGCTGTGGCACCTGGCTGCTCACTTACCGAACACGTTTCAAACCGAGCTTGGGGAATTCCCAGACGAGCAGCATGGCAGACTCGGCATGGACAGCCCTCCTGGGAGGAAGTGCCGCCGCACCCCCGCGGAAGAAGCGGGGCGCCAGCGGCGCTGACGCTGCGGACAAGATCCATCCTCGTAAAATTGTGCCTCCAGACGAAGAGGTACGGATGCTGATGGCAATCCTCTTCACATGCTTCCAAGTTGCAGCAGGTCGCTCGGCAGCGCAGGGGGTCAAGAAGGCATATACAGGATCCACGCCGACGGCACGGAGGGGAAGAGTGGCCTCGATGAGGGCGGCTCAGACCCATGGGCATTCACAGCGTTGCTGATTGAGGCAAGCACGTCGAAGCATCTCGGACAGGGACATCTCGAGAAAAACTGGACATTCCTTGCGGGCCACCAGGCGCCCAAGGATCCCCGGGACTGCAGGCGACGGGCTCCAAGAACCCGCCCCCCGCTCCAACGTGCAGAAGATGTACAACTCCAACCACGTGAAGCTTGTCATTCGCGTGCAGCCAGAAGAAGGGCGCTGACTTGGAGAATATCGTGATCAAGCACCTCCGGGGCATGAAATGCAAGCAGCACGTCGGCCAGGCCCTCTGGGGAACCCTTGGGAGGAAGGCCCGGGACCTCCTTAAGGAGCTCTCAGCCTCGTACTGAGTGCTGAGGAGCAGGCGAGAGGTGCGCCGGGGTGCCTCGGCTGTGCTCGCCGCTCCTCTTGGCGTGCTTGGCCGGGCGCGCTCGGCCGGGGCCGCTCCCCTGGGCCTGGGGCCAAAGCCTTCAGAAACTCGGGCAACGACCCGATCGCTCTGCCTGACTCTGGGCGCACGGAGTCCATGCGCAGTCCGCCGCCGCCGCCGCCGCCTCCTCATCCCTCCCCCTCCCCTCGCTCCCCCTGCTCCTCCTCTGCATCCTCCGCCTCAATCCCCCTGCCTTACAGGGCAGTTCTTAATACATAGGATGTTTAAACATATATGATGTTTTAATACATGCTCAACTTACTAGCCGGCCGCTCTGCAGTTGATCGGGAGTTTCTGTATATAGAAGAAGGTGCGTGCGCTTGTTGGCGAGGGTGAGGATGAGGTTCCTCCTCCTCCTCCTCCTCCTCCTCCTCCTCCTCCTCCTCCTCCTCCTCCTCCTCCTCCATCCTTCTCTTGCCTCCGTCTGTCCTCCTTCACCCCACAGCTCCATCATCTTCTCCTCCTCCTCCTCCTCCTCCTCCTCCTCCTCCTCCTCCTCCTCCTCCTCCTCCTCCTCCTCCTCCTCCTCCTCCTCCTCCTCCTCCTCATTCCTTCTCTGGGCACCTCCCCCGGGGCGCGGATCCACCGGATCTGTCCGGATCTGTCCGGAAACGGTGCCGGATGCCGCTCTGGGCTCCTCTGGGCACCTCCCCCGGGGCCGGTTTTGTGAGGATGTCTCAAGCGAGGGCGCCGGTTTGGGATTCGGATCCAGCGGCGGATCTGTCCGGAAACGGTGCCGGAGGCCGCTCTGGGCTCCTCTGGGCACCTCCCCCGGGGCCGGTTTTGTGAGGATGTCTCAAGCGAGGGCGCCGGTTTGGGATTCGTCACCGGATCCAGCGGATCCAGCGGATCCACCGGATCTGTCCGGAAACGGTGCCGGAGGCCGCTCTGGGCTCCTCTGGGCACCTCCCCCGGGGCCGGTTTTGTGAGGATGTCTCAAGCGAGGGCGCCGGTTTGGGATTCGTCACCGGATCCAGCGGATCCACCGGATCTGTCCGGAAACGGTGCCGGAGGCCGCTCTGGGCTCCTCTGGGCACCTCCCCCGGGGCCGGTTTTGTGAGGATGTCTCAAGCGAGGGCGCCGGTTTGGGATTTCGTCCCCGGATCCAGCGGATCCACCGGATCCCACCGGATCTGTCCGGAAACGGTGCCGGAGGCCGCTCTGGGCTCCTCTGGGCACCTCCCCCGGGGCCGGTTTTGTGAGGATGTCTCAAGCGAGGGCGCCGGTTTGGGATTCGTCACCGGATCCAGGATCCAGGATCCAGCGGATCTGTCCGGAAACGGTGCCGGAGGCCGCTCTGGGCTCCTCTGGGCACCTCCCCCGGGGCCGGTTTTGTGAGGATGTCTCAAGCGAGGGCGCCGGTTTGGGATTCGTCGGATCCAGCGGACCGGATCTGTCCGGAAACGGTGCCGGAGGCCGCTCTGGGCTCCTCTGGGCACCTCCCCCGGGGCCGGTTTTGTGAGGATGTCTCAAGCGAGGGCGCCGGTTTGGGATTCGTCACGGATCCAGCGGATCCAGCGGATCCACCGGATCTGTCCGGAAACGGTGCCGGAGGCCGCTCTGGGCTCCTCTGGGCACCTCCCCCGGGGCCGGTTTTGTGAGGATGTCTCAAGCGAGGGCGCCGGTTTGGGATTCGTCACCGGATCCAGCGGATCCAGCGGATCCTGTCCGGAAACGGTGCCGGAGGCCGCTCTGGGCTCCTCTGGGCACCTCCCCCGGGGCCGGTTTTGTGAGGATGTCTCAAGCGAGGGCGCCGGTTTGGGATTCGTCACCGGATCCAGCGGATCCAGCGGATCCAGCGGATCTGTCCGGAAACGGTGCCGGAGGCCGCTCTGGGCTCCTCTGGGCACCTCCCCCGGGGCCGGTTTTGTGAGGATGTCTCAAGCGAGGGCGCCGGTTTGGGATTCGTCGGCGGATCCACCGGATCCAGCGGATCCACCGGATCTGTCCGGAAACGGTGCCGGAGGCCGCTCTGGGCTCCTCTGGGCACCTCCCCCGGGGCCGGTTTTGTGAGGATGTCTCAAGCGAGGGCGCCGGTTTGGGATTCGTCACCGGATCCAGCGGATCCAGCGGATCCAGCGGATCTGTCCGGAAACGGTGCCGGAGGCCGCTCTGGGCTCCTCTGGGCACCTCCCCCGGGGCCGGTTTTGTGAGGATGTCTCAAGCGAGGGCGCCGGTTTGGGATTCGTCACCGGATCCAGCGGATCCAGCGGATCCAGCGGATCTGTCCGGAAACGGTGCCGGAGGCCGCTCGCTCCTCTGGGCAACTGTCTCAAGCGAGGGCGCCGGTTTGGGATTCGTCACCATGCCGGAGGCCGCTCTGGGCTCCTCTGGGCACCTCCCCCGGGGCCGGTTTTGTGAGGATGTCTCAAGCGAGGGCGCCGGTTTGGGATTCGTCACCGGATCCAGCGGATCCAGCGGATCCAGCGGATCCAGCGGATCTGTCCGGAAACGGTGCCGGAGGCCGCTCTGGACTCGTGCTCTTCGCGCCGGGGGTGAGGATGACGTGAGTTCCACAGAAACTCCCTCAAATGAATACACTTATGAATGAACTCATCGTTGTTCTTGATACTACATCCCTGCATTTTGAACGCATGCTCCGCACGCGGGAGATGTATTGAAAAACGGCACCGTAGAGCTACCTCCTCCCTGTCGCAAACCCGGCACGGGTCGGGAGGGCGGGCCAGGGACTCGCCCGAGGCCTCCTCGCGCTGCCTCGTGCTCCTGCAGCTCGACAGGTCTGCCAAGGCTCCACGGACGCAGGGCGGGCCACGCGCACAGACCGTTTGGCTCCCGCCCCCGCGCCGCACGCAGATTCGTCTGAGAATTGTGGATGCCACGACAGTGGACGCCCTAAGAGTCCGATCATTGAACGAAAAATGTGATTGAACATGTCCGAGCAATGTTCTAAACGTGTTTGACGAACATGCTTGTTTACACATGATTACAACATGCTTAAAGTCTGTTTTAGACATGTGGACATTGTTTTGCAGCATGCTTCCTTCTCCATGGATCATCCTCCACAGTCTCGGCAGTTTGCAGGAGCTTCTCGGATGGAAGGGGTTCTCTGAAGTGGGGCTCCGCCCTCAGCGCCGCGCAAATCACACTCGTCCCAGGCGCTGACAAGTCGGCGGTGGACAAACCTCCCTTTAGTAGACCTCCCCTTAGTGAACACGGCCTGGGACCGAAACCGACGGACCTGGACCCGCAAAAATGCCGGCCGCGACGCCCTCTCGCGAATCGAACACGGCCCATTCCTTAATCGACGTGTCAGGGTAGGAGGTCTGTCCGCCTCCGAACAAGAGCCTCCACGGCTCGAGGGCGGGCCGTCCGCGTGGAACCTCGCCTCGGCGCCGCGCACGGCCGCCGGAGCAGCTCGCCAGGGCCCCCCGCGGAGGGAGGGCGGCCCCTCTCCAAGAACGTGGCCCTCGCCCGAGCGCCGCGCACGCTCGCCTTGGAGGAAGAGGAGGAGGAGGAGGAGGAGGAGGAGGAGGAGGAGGAGCAGGAGGAGGAGCAGCAGGAGGAGGACGAGGAGGAGGAGGTGCTTTTCTCCCTCCTGTGAATCCGCCCGGTAGATGCGGAATGGCTCACGGATGGGCGGCTGCTCCCTCTTCGGGATGCGGCCCTCGCCTCGGCGCCGCGCGCATGCGCCTCGAGAGCTCGCCAGACTTTTTCGCGCATGGAGGGCGGGCCGGTTTCAAACTGCGACTCTCGCAGCAGCGCCGCGCACATTCGTCTCAGAAGCTCGCGAGAGCGTCACGGATGGAGGGCGGTGTCTTCTCAAGATGTGGCTCTCGTCGAAGCGCCGCGCACGTTCGTCTGAACAGTTTACGGCAGGCTCACGGATTCTCATGGCTGACGTCCTAGACATATTGATCGGAATCGATGTGTGATTGCCTGGGCGCGACAGCCACGCCGATTCGCGGCGCTGACGTCCCAGAAATGGTCTCGCCTGAACGCGTCTGGTCGCAACAGGAACGTTCGTTCGCGACTCTGAGGTCCCAGGACGCGGTCCTTTGCACGGCTGTCTTCCAACGGGGCTCTCCCCGCAGTGAGAATACACCTTGTGAGAGCTGCTTTCAAACAGAGGGAGGGTGTGTTGCGACATCGCTGGTGAGCCTTGGGCTGACACTGGTCATCGTCCCCCTTCTCCCCTGCTTTTTCTGTTCCCCCTGCCCCCCTCCTCCCCGTCCTCGTCCTGCTGCCGAACCTATTCGCGCAGCTGCTGGTCCTCCCCCCTCCTCCTCCCCCTCCTCATCTGCTCGTCCGCGTCCTCCTCACCCCCCTCTCCCTCCCCCTCCCCCTCCTACTTCCGATCCTCCTCGGCCTCCGCCGCCTTTCCTCGTCACCCTCCCCCTCCTCCTCTGCTCGTCCGCGTCCTCCTCACCCCCCTCTCCCTCCCCCTCCCCCTCCTACTTCCGATCCTCCTCGGCCTCCGCCGCCTTTCCTCGCCATCCTTCCCCTGCTCATTCTTTTTACCTTCCCGAGGTGCGCCGCCTCGATGCGAGCCCCGGGGCTCCGCACCGAGTCGCCGCCCTCGTGCCTCCTCCAAGGAGGGCCAGGCGTGGCACGAGGCAGCCCGAAAAGCAGACCCGTGAGGCCAGGAACCCACTCGAGGACTCCGACTATCCGCGAGAGTGCCGGCCACAGGGGCCGCCCTCCTCCTGCCCCGCCCCGTGACGTCGCGTGTCGCGCAGGCGCCGTCTGGGAATGGCCAGGGGCAGCGGACTCCCAAACGGCGCCGGTCCGACCATCGTGACGCCACGAGGACAAAGGAAACGGGCACGACGAGGGCGAAGGCGGCGGGTGCCGCGGCCACCCTGGGCAGCTGAGCCCCGGGCTGCTGCTGCTGCTGCTGCTGCAGCTGCTGCTGCTGCAGCTGCTGCTGCTGCTGCTGCTGCTGCGACTGTCCCCCGGAGCCGCTCGCCACCACGAAGGTGCCGTCAACGGGCCCGTCGTAGGGAACCCTCCACCCAGACTGGGGCGGAGACATGGCCTTTGCGCGCGGGAGGGGCGAGGAGGGAGGGCCTCCCTCTTCCACTCTGCTTCCTCGCTCCACCCACTTGCCCCCCTCCCCCCTCCCCATCCTCCTCTCCAGCTGGCTCTCCTCCTCGGGAGAGGGTGAAGAGAGGGAGGAGGGATGAGCGCAACGCTTTCGCGCATGCATTCTCACTATGTGCAAGTGTACACATCCCATCGCCTGTGTCCCTGTATCCAGAAAACAGCAAGGACATGCAACCGCGCGAGCGGCAATGAATGATACAAAGACGAGCGCGTGAGCCGAACAGAAGTAATGAGACCTATGCAAAGTGTCAGCGTCGACTACTTTCGGCACCAAATTCGGACGGAACTGAAAACTGTTGCAATCAGCGCACTCCCAATTGGCCAATGGCTTGCCGCACGCGGGTTGGCGTCAACCACACTCCAACAGCTTCTCACGTCTGACGTGGCCAGATACCGCCTGGCAGGGTAGAAGCGGGTGTCGCTCGTGCCCCCGGCGGCGGCCTACATACTCGCTGCTGCATCAGCGAGCTCGGCGGCCAGGGCCACGATCGCGCGACAGAGGTGGATGTCACATCCCAAGCCGCTGCCCGCTACCCGCGCGAACAGGTCCTGGTACGAGGCTCCGCTTCGCACGCAGGCTTCCGGAAGAGTGCGCGGACGCAGCACTCGGCTGAGACAGGCTGCCCGTTGAATCTCATCGGACTATCACTCCAAAAGTGGACTGCAAACCCACGAAAATGTCGCCACCGCTCTCCAAAATAAAACTTACCAAATGCATGTGTGGGTCGCGAAAACGCTGGAGAGTATACTTCGGCACTCATTGCCGCGACGCCGTTAGTCTGCCACCGACCAATCTAAATACCAAGAGACTGCGATCCCACGCCAACGACATGCGGCCCTGAGCGCGAGGGAAAAGTATTGGGCGAAGCCGTCGTCCGCGCAGAGCGCGGAGCCATCAAAGGAGCACCGTCCAAACCAGAGACATTTGGCAACGATGCAGAAAACACCGTGCCAGTGCAAGTTAGGAGGCAGCTCCTCGGAGATCTTCGGAGGGACGACTTCAAAAGCTACGAGGACTTCGGTGGCAACTCATGGGAGCCTTCCATCCAATCTTGGCGGCTCTTGCGATATCGACGCTTATCCACGCTGCACCGACGCGAATCGACGCTGCGTCGGCGCTTTCGCATCGACTACCAAACGCTGGCGCACGCTAACACACTGGAAAGACGGAATTGCGAGGACTCGCAAATGCTCCCGTGCCTTGCTTCCGAAGGCTCCCGATCAAGGGGCCATCCTCCTCCCTCTTCTCCTGCTCCTCCTTCTCTGCTCCACCCCGTCCTCCTCTTTGTCCTCCTCCTCCTCCTCCTCCTCCTCCTCCTCCACCTCCTCCTCCTCCTCCCCTCTTCCTACTCCTCCTTTTCCTCCTCCTCCTCCTCCTCCTCCTCCTCCTCCCCAGGCCCGGCAAGGCTCGCTCGGAATGCGCTGGCCCTGTCCTCCATAGTACATCGTACAGGCCCATTTGCATTCCACAGGCCATCGGACCCTCCTCCTCCGCGCTGGCACCCTCTCCGCCTGGTCCTCCTCCTCCTCCTCGCGCTCCTCTCTTACCTCCAGCGCCAAGATCGGCACAATGCCGCCGCATCCAGCGGCTCTCGCACGGAAGGCCCGCGAGACACGGGCGCGCCCGCCTCCACACCCGTGGAGCCCGCCCTTCCCCGCGAGGGTGGAGCTCGCTCGTGCCACGGGGGCGCCCGCCCGGGGGCGTGCCACGGGGGCGCCCGCCCTTCCTGGCGATGGTGGAGCTTGGTCGTTGGTTCGCTCCTCCTGGCCTGAAGTCGGGTCTGCCCCGCTACAGGGGGATTCTCGACGAAAAATAAAAAATACCCAAAAAATAATCGAAAAAATACCACAAAAATAGTCTGGGGACTATTCTTTTAGTATTTTTTAACATTTTTGGGGTATGTTTGGTCATCCTCCTCCTCCTCCTCCTCCTCCTCCCTCCTCCTCCTCGTCCTAGCGAACAGGGTCGGCGGCACCGGCCGTAAGGCCTTCGCATTAAGCACGCGCAGATCCCAGGATCCCCCAGACTTTCACATCTTTTCTGGACGCTCGTCTTCCCCCCCCCACTGCCCATGGTGCCCCATCTTTTCCTGGGATCAACGGATGCTTTGCCATTCTGCCCCTCCTGAGGTATACCCCTTCTCGGTGACTTACGCCTCACTGGGGGCAGCGATAGGCGAAGCCAGGACGAGGATAACATCGCGAACGGACAAATCGAGAGTCTCTGAGATTCGACGGCTCGCAGAGATTCTGGAGGACGTCTCGGGCGGCGCGGCCTTCTAAGAGCGTTCCGGAACGCTCTGAGAGCGTTGCGGAACGCTCTGAGGCGGATTGATCCTCGTCCTAGCACCGTCCGACTCCTCCTTCTCGGTGAATTGCGACTTGCTGGGACCAGCGCGGCAAATCTTGCACGTCTCGCTGCGCAGCGTCGCGCGCAGCTCCCGAAGGCCCCGGGTGGACGAGCACACTGCCAGGCGCCCGCGGCAGCGCGCTGCGCCTGCTTCCCGCTCGTCACGAAAAAAGTGTGGCCATTCCGCCACGTGGGCCACGACAAAACACGCGCCACACAAGAGATGGCATAGCGACCTTACGCGGTGGCTTACGTGGGCCGCTAGCGCAGCACGCTGCATTTGAAACGGGGGCGCTTGCGCGTGACGCTGCGAGAGACGCTTACGCGCCAAAGTCGGTGACGACGGCCCCGTTTTCTACGTCGCTAACGTGGCGACGCGGACGCAGAGGTTAGGAGGCAACTCCTCGGAGGTCTTCGCAAAAACGGCTCCAAGCTGTTAAGCCCGTAGATAGAACCATTACGGCGATCAAATCAGGGTAACTTAGGAGACCGCCGGACTGAAACGGATTAAGGGGGAACGAGCGCAACTGACAAAAGATTACAACCGGGTTAGGCCGGCTTCCGACCACAGCTATACATATATATATACATAGACATAGACATAGACATATATAAATATATATATATGTATATAGACACATATAGACATATATATATATATATACATACATATATATATACAAAGGGCCGCTGACAGAAGGAACGCTAAATAAGGAACGAACCCCCTTCTTGGCCCTGTAAACGCCTCCGTGCCGCAGGAGGGCAAGAGGAACAGCACTGGAGGAACCTAAGTAACATCAAGCCCCTTCCGAACCCAAACTGTTCCTCATTTCAGCGTCTTGGCTGTATGTATATACATATATATGTGTGTGTATATATATATATATATAGCACCGCCGATTCTGCATGAAAACTCCTGGGAGCTGCATCTGGATGTAGGTCCCGTCCGCCACGCCACAATGCCTCGAGGGCCGTCGCCGCAGCCGCAGGCGATGCAAGACTGATCCCCTCCACGGCCACGGCGCAACGCTTGGCGGCCCCGAATCGAACACTCGCACCACCAGCTTGGCTTCGCAACGGGGTTTCCGTTGTTGCTGCAGTGCCCCGCGCTCAAGTCAACACAACTGCGGTGAGTTTCGCAAAGTGGGAAGCCCGTGCGTCAACTGTACTGGGCTCGCCTATGCGCCGGTCGTGCACGTCGAAGCCACATGACCCAGGACGCCCTCGGAGGCGTCCAATAGACCTTTCTGCTCCTCCTCCTCCTCGTCCTCCTCCTCCTCCTCCCCAACCTCCTCCCCGTCCTCCTCATCCTCCTCCTCATCCTCCTCCTCATCATCATCATCATCAGCATCATCATCATCCTCATCATGATCATCAGCAGCAGCATCATCAGCAGCAGCATCAGCATCAGCATCATCATCAGCAGCAGCATCGGCATGAGCATCATCATCATCATCAGCAACAGCATCATCATCAGCATCATCATCATCAGCATCATCGGCATCATCGGCAGCATCTGCATCAGCATCAGCATCATCATCATCAGCAGCAGCACCATCATCATCATCATCATCATCATCATCATCATCATCATCATCATCATCATCATCATCAGCATTATCAGCGTCATCACCATTACCATCACCATCACCATCACCAGCATCAAGATCCTCATCATCAGCATCATCAGCATCATCATCAGCATCAGCATCACCATCATCATAAGCACATCATCAGCATCATCAACATAACCATCACCATCATCAGCATCATCCTCCTCATCCTCCTCATAAGCATCATCATAATCGGCATCATCAGCATCAGCATCATCAGCATCATCAGCATCATCAGCATCATCAGCATCATCATCATCACCATCACCATCAGCATCAGCATCAGCATCAGCATCATCATCATCATCATCATCATCATCATCATCATCATCATCATCATCATCATCATCATCATCATCGATCGCCACGTCTTGGCCCTCCCTACGTTGGAAGTAGCAGGCATGGTCTGGGCCTTGTCGGCGTTGTAAGCCCACACCTGATCGCCACCGACCTTAGGCCCGAACCACCAGCCGCAGAAGTTGGGGCCGTCGCGCTCGTCCTGACCCGGGCGACAGAAACTTCCAGTTAGGAGCACGGGAGCGTGCGAGAATGTCTCATCATCCCTCCATCTCCCGCTCCTCCTCCGTCCCCTCCACTCCCCCACCCAATCCTCATGGAGTCTTCTCCCACTCTCCTCCTTCTCCTCCTCCACCTCCTCCTCCTTCCGCTCATCCCCATCCTCCGCCTCACCCCCCCTTCCTCATATTCCTCCTGCTGTCCCAGAAGTAAATCAGCACCTCGAGCCCATTCACCTGCGTCGTCTTCCTGTAGACAGGCCTCCCGCGGGGAACTGCAGTCTCAGCAAAACTCCGGAGCAGCAATGGCAGGGACGCGAGGAGTCTATAGGAGAACTAGCCAAATAACCAATGATGCAGAGCAGTACCTGTACGGCTACGAACACCCCTTTCCCCACCGAGAAGATCCCTCGCAACCCTCCTCGTCTGGAAAATCAGGAGGGGAGGGAAGGATGGAAGGGACAGGAGAAATGAAGACGGGACGGGAAACGGGAGGGAGGAGGGAGGAATAATTAATGTCGCACTTCTGACGCTGCCAGCAGGTGGGAAAGAGAAAGTGGAAAGGCGGACGGCGTTGGAGGCTTCCAGAGCATGGAGAGAGAGAGGGAGAGTGCATACGTGGACCTGCGCCTGACGCAGCCAAGCTATGGACGCTGCGTTTTGAAACTCCGTCGAACATCTGCGTCCGCTGTCCGGGCTTCGCAACACACGAAATTCAACAAATGTTCGCGGTGACCCGCAACCACCAGCCCAGTTCGAGGGCGCTCCAAAGTCACCAAAAGCACACGCACAAACAACATAGACTGATGGCCGGATCTTTGTCCTCGAGAGCACTCGTGACACGAAGCCGGACGCTGCAGACCAGACCCGAGCAATCGTCGGCAGACACGGAAGAACCGCATGCGTGAGCGAACACCGACTTCCAGAGGCCCGCACGGACTTCTCGGGACGGGGCTCGGCGCCCCCTCCGCACCCGCCGCGTGTTGGGCGCGAATGAACTAAGGAAGGGGCCCTGGGACACACAAATAAATGCACACAGATGACAGGATTCCCCATATGTTCCCATATCTTCTGGGTTTTTGTCTTCCCCCCCACTTCCCATATTGTCCCATACTTTCTGGGGAATCGACGCTTAATTGTGTCTGTGTAAGTGTTTCCCCCTCCTGAATTGGGCGCGAATGAAATAACGGGGGCGACGAATGGGGAGGGGGGGGGGAGAATGGTGCCCTCCTCGGGCCCGAAGGGCCCCCTTCTGGGGCCCAGAAGGGCCCCTTGAGGGTTGGGTCGGGCATGTCCCCCACACAGGCGGATTCTGGGCGAAACAAGAAAGACGCGAACAAATACCCCAAGAATAATCGAAAATTGTCCAAACATCATCCACTAACTATTGTTTGACTGTGTTCGGATATTCCTCCTGTAGGGGGACAGGCCCGACTTAACCTTGGGGGCCCTGCAGGGCAGCCCCCCCCTGCGCGTCCCCCGAGCCAAGGGGGGGGAGGCGTCCGGTGCCGGCTCAGGAAGCCCGCGCGAACCTCTGAGGGTTGACGTGCCCGTGTCGTATGATGATCCAATAAACGCCAATTGTCCGGTCCGGGTGGCTTGAACATTCTAGCCTTGACTGCCAAGGAGAGCTTCGGGCACCAAGAAGGAGCCGGCACCTGAAGGGTTCCACGCGTCGGGCCCTGGGAGGCGATACTCGTTCCGCACTGGTTCGATGCGCTTCTGGGCACTGGGAATGATTTCTGGGATGTGGCCCTCAGGTACGATGGGATGAGCATAACCCGTGTCGCCCTTGCTGGCTTGGCTCGATGGGCCACCAAGGGGAGGCGGCGCCTGCCGTGGTTCTCGGCCGCGGGCACGAACTGCCCCCGCACGATGTTGCCCACCGTCGCGTTGTTGCAGCCTCTCGCTCGGGCAGGGGGGGGGAGGCCGCGGTCGTGGGCTCTCCTCCTCCTCTTCCTCCTCCTCCTCCTCCTCGGGCCTCCCCCTCTCGGCGGCGAGCGAGGGGGGGAAGTGAGAAAGGAGAAGGCCTTCTCAGCAGGCGGCGGGACTCCACAGAAGCCCCCGCGACTTCTGAGAGGCTTCTGTGCCTCCGGGGAAGGCCGCGAAGACTTCTCGGAAGGTCAGGGCACTTCCGAGCCAGAGAAGGCCCGCCCCTTCTCACTCTTCCCCCCGGGCTCGCCGCCGATCCTTCCTCCGCCGCAACCTCCAAGGAGAAGGAGGGAGTTGAATACTCAGACAGACATTCTATCCTGGGCCCCAGAATGGTGTATACGCCCTCCGGGGTCCCAGTATGACCCTGGCCTTAGGTCGGGCATGTCCCCCTGCAGGCGGAGTGTGGACGAAAAACAAAAAGTTGACGCAAAAAATGCGCAAACAAGAATCAAAACTAGTCAAAAACTGGACTCCAGACTATTTTTTGACTATTTCTGAATTCTCCTCCTGTAGAGGAACACGCCCGACTTCACCCTGGCCAGGCATAGTTTCGGGCCGACCCGCCGAACCCCCGCCCCCAAAGAAGGGGGGGAGCAGCAACACAAAAAAATACTCACTGCTGGAAGCAGGAAGCCACTCAAAACAACTTTGGAGATGGGGGCCCCCAACTGCCGAATTACACGCAAAGGCATCTGTACACCACCACCACCAAGCCTGGCCAGGGCCATCCTTGGCCCCGGCATGGTGGATACGCCCTCCTGCCCCGGCCAGGAGGGGTCATACACCACCGCAGGAGCCAAGATGGCCCTGGCCAAGCACGGAGGTGGAGTATATATATATATATATATACATATATATGTACATATGTATATATACATGTCTATATATATATATATATACATATGTGTATATAGATGCATTATTCGAATACGCCGCCGTGCCTTCAGCACGAAGTCGAGTGCCCCAAGGCTCATGCAGCCCCAAGAAATAACAGGACTCTACAGTTCGTAAAGGCCGGGACCCTCGGTTCCCAAGCCATTCCGGGCGCTACTGGGCGCTCCTGGGATGCTGCTTCGGGCAGGGCTCCAAGCCGGCAGCCCCGCCCAGGAGGGGTTCATCTTCCTCCCCCATTGCGGCCCTGACCTCATGCCCTCCCCGCGCCTCCCGTCCTCCCCAATCCCTATCCCCTCACCGCCCCGACCCTCCCAGCTCTACCTAATCCCCTCCGACGACGACTGCAATGACGGCGACGCCGCCGACGCCACGAAGCAGCAACGATAGGAGGAGGAGGAGAGGAGGACGTAGGAGGAAGCCAGAGCAGGAGGAAGCAGGAGGATGAGGAGGAAGAGGACATATAAGGCTGATGAAAGGCTTCGCAGAGGCTGCTGAGAGGCTTCCGGGAGATTAAGCAGAGGCTTATGAGGGGCTTATGAGGGATCTGAGGTGTGTTTGAAAGGCTTTCAACAGGCTTCGCAGAGGCTTCACATATGCTTTGGGCAAGGATTGTGAAAGGCTTCGCAGAGGCATCGCACAGGCTTTTCCCAGGAATCTGAGAGGCCCCTGAAAGGCTTCCGAGAAGCTTCTGAAAGGCTTATGAGAGATGTTGCTGAAAGGCTTCTGAGAGATGCTCCAGGAAGGCTTCTGAGAGATGCCGATTAGAGGCTTATAATAAGTTCCTGAGAGGCTTCTGGAAGGCTTCGCAGAGGCGGAGCCCGGATGTGATGCGCATAACAGAATACCCGACGCAACAGCATAATCGTGAGGGCAGAACACAAACGAAAACACAATGCCAATGAACATTGTTACGCACAGTCTGCTAGGGCAATCGAAGACACGAAAGGACATGGTGGGAAATCAGAAAGTATGCGTGATGCAGATGTGTCTGAGTCAGAACGAGTGAATACAAGATGTCTTTACTCAATTACTTGGGCTGATCTGGGCATGTACCCCGCGGATCAAGAGGAATACACGTCTGATCTCCTTGTTGTTGACACGTTGCAGTGGGTCGGTAGCACGTGCGCCCAAAAGCACGGACCATCTTCGATCTGAGCGGAGGCGGCCCACATGCCAAGCAAACACACAGCTCACGACTCATAGGTCAAGTGATGACAAAACCCGAAGAACAAAACAAACTATCAGATAGCAAATGCAGACTCATCATTACGAACACATTGCAAACGCCCGGAAATTCGCATCGCATCCTGTGGCTGGTACTTCGTGGAGAGGACAGCACATCCCAAACTTCCCCTTGCGCCCCCGCCGAACAAGATGTACGTACCACAACGGCCGTTCGGACGGCTATGCGAATGGGGGGCGTGGGCGGGCAGCCTTGAACGTTGAGAACCTGCTGCCCCTGCTGCTGCTGCTGCGCAGCCTGCTGCTGCTGCAGCTGCTGCTGCTGTGCAGCCTGCTGCTGAGCAGCCTGCTGCTGCAGCTGCTGCTGCTGCAGCTGCTGCTGCTGCTGTAGCTGCTGCTGCTGCTGAGGGGACTGCTGCTGCGCAGCCTGCTGCTGCTGAGCAGCCTGCTGCTGCTGCAGTTGGGCCTGCTGAGCCTCCCAATTGAACGGCTGGCAAACTCATATGGAAGACGAGAATGAAGCGGCAGCGGCAACGGCCGCAGTGAGAGGTTAAGGGAGCATTTCGCTGCGAGGCAGCGAGGAGCGCGAATACCTGCAGCAAAATTGGGACCATCAACCGCCGAATGAAGAACCAAAACCCGCAAAAGATCATGTCCTTTCCAACCGGTCCATCCTTCGTAACTGTCGTCACGAGCGTCTTATCATAAGCTGTCGGCCGTCAGCTTCGAGGTACGAATTTCGTCGTCCATTGCGAAGGCGATGCTTGCTCCGCAGACGCCTGGACCTTTCCAAAGTGTATCCATGGCTTCCCAAAATGTCTCACAAGTGTGCACAACACCATGCCTCAACACAACAGCTCGCATGCCCTTTGACCCTTAGTTTACGTGTTCGATCACGGACCCCTCGCCACGCATCTTGGCCTCAAAAGACCGCCGAACAACCGCTGAAAACCGCAAGCGGGCGCGCGCCCCGCCACAGGCGTTGGGGCCCGACACGGTCTTCGGCGGTCGTCGGCGGTCTGTCGGCGGTCTTCGGCGGTTTTCGGCAGTCTTCGGTGGTCTTTCGGCGGTCTTCGGCGGTCTTTCGGCGGTATTCGGCGGTCTTTCGGCGGTCTTCGGCGGTCACTTACTTGTCATTCCTGGCCAGCCACACAAGACCTTCAGCGGATCCGGAAAACAATAAGTGAGATGGAAGCATGGAAATAAGCATACATGGAAAGGTTGACCGTGCCCTGCCCGTGTCGCTCTGTCTCGTTGGTGCCCACGTGCGCAAAGGTCTTGCAGCACTGTCCGTGTACCTTTTTTGGGGTGCTTCACGTCCTGACGGAACCCGTGCGGGGAAGCGAGGAGGAGACTTTCCGGATGCGGCGGGGCTTTTCTCGAAAGGCCCCCGGCCTCCTGAAGAGTCGTTTGCGTCTGCGGGCAAGGCTCAGGGAACTCCTCAGGAGGCCGGAGGCCTCCTGAGCCTCTTGCGAGGACCCGCCCTCCTCAGTTCCCCCCCAGGCTCTCGGCCTATTCTGGGGCGCAGGAGGGCATACGGCAGGCTCGTTGTCGTGACGACCCCAGCGTTGGGGTTTCAGGCGCCGCGGGGATCGTTCATGCTTGAACGATGCGATCGCCAGACCGTTCCAGAATTACCTGTCGATTCTGGGCCATTAGCGATGCCCCTGTTTTCCACCACCTCCACTACCATAAGTTGGAGGGGGTGGGAGTAGGAGTAGGAGTAGGAGTCAAGCTAGCCAGCTCGAGCGAGTCAAGCATGGCATGCCCAGCCCCGCCCGCCCTCCCACAACATAAGAAGCAAAGCTGGCACAACTGGGGGCCGAAGTCACACCGGCCAGCCGGTGTGGTACAGCTGATGCGGCCGCGATGGCGGTTGCCGACGGGAACTGGCGAGCGCGTGTTGAATGCCGCGCACGCATTGCCAGATTAGAATTGGACGGATTGGATGGGCGGGCGCGGGGTGTGCGCCGCGTCCCATTCCTGCCATGCATTTTGCGACGTGGACGACAGGACGTCCATGCGACGGTGCCAATGACGGCGACGACTCTAGAAGGATTTGAGCATGCGCTCGCGGCGACGCGCGCGCATGTCGCCCGCGTGGTATTTTTTGCACAGGATTCGCGGCCTGGGTGCATGACAGAGCATCGCGAGTGCACCGCGCGATGACGTGAAATCGCTGGATTTGACCGAATTCTTAAGATTCCTATGGTTTTCCTATGATTTCAGCAAGAGAGCCCGGGCGGGAAATTTGTACAATTTTTGTGAAAAAGCATTGGGTTTTTGATGTTTTTATGTTGAAATGCTTGCAAACACACGGTGTTCGGTAGGATTCTGACATGAACGCGCGCGTGTGCTCTTTGTGGTATTTTTTGCAATGGATTATCGCCGTGGACGACAGGACGTCCATGTCGAGAGGAAAAAATAAGAAAAATGTTGATGTTGTATTGTTCCCAACCCTCCTTGGTTGGGTATTCGTTTTGAATAGAGCAGTGTGGTCGCGTCCCTTCTCCCTTCTCCCGCCTCCCGCCTCCCGCCTCTTCTTGTCTTGCCTGCGGGGGGCTGCGATCTGTGAAACTGTCGCCACTTTCGAGGCCTGCTGGGGGGTCCGGCATAGAGGGTAACCGCGGCAGATTCAAATTAGACCTCGCCATCCCTGGGGGGCTGCGATCTGTGAAACTGTCGCCACTTTCGAGGCCTGCTGGGGGGTCCTGCATAGAGGGTAACCGCGGCAGATTCAAATTAGACCTCGCCATCCCTGGGGGGCTGCGATCTGTGAAACTGTCGCCACTTTCGAGGCCTGCTGGGGGGTCCTGCATAGAGGGTAACGCGGCAGATTCAAATTAGACCTCGCCATCCCTGGGGGGCTGCGATCTGCGAAACTGTCGCCATTTTCGAGGCCTGCTGGGGGGCCCAGCACAGTGAGGGCCACGCGCGGATTCAAATTAGACCTCGCCATCCCTGGGGGGCTGCGATCTGCGAAACTGTCGCCATTTTCGAGGCCTGCTGGGGGGCCCAGCACAGTGAGGGCCACGCGCGGATTCAAATTAGACCTCGCCATCCCTGGGGGGCTGCGATCTGCGAAACTGTCGCCATTTTCGAGGCCTGCTGGGGGGCCCAGCACAGTGAGGGCCACGCGCGGATTCAAATTAGACCTCGCCATCCCTGGGGGGCTGCGATCTGCGAAACTGTCGCCATTTTCGAGGCCTGCTGGGGGGCCCAGCACAGTGAGGGCCACGCGCGGATTCAAATTAGACCTCGCCATCCCTGGGGGGCTGCGATCTGCGAAACTGTCGCCATTTTCGAGGCCTGCTGGGGGGCCCAGCACAGTGAGGGCCACGGGCGGATTCAAATTAGACCTCGCCATCCCTGGGGGGCTGCGATCTGCGAAACTGTCGCCATTTTCGAGGCCTGCTTCGAGGCCTGCTGGGGGGCCCAGCACAGTGAGGGCCACGGGCAGATGCTCAACAGTGAGACCTCGCCATCCCTGCGGGGCTGCGATCTGCGAACCTGTCGCCACTTTCGAGGCCTGCTGTGATCCCCGTTTTCGAAGTGGCTAGGAGTGCTCAGGAATTGTAAATCATCAGCTTTATCAAGCCCTTTTCCTGTAGCCAGTGTCCTGCGAGTCTCCCGAATTCCGTCTGCAGACATATGTAACCCTCGCTCCGTCATCGCCCCCTTATAAAGTATCCTAAACTATTTGCGCCCCGCTTTTGCGCAGGGGTTGGGTACGTCGCCAGGGTAATTTTTTACAGGTTAGGATGGGACCACCCGGATGGGGCCCCTATCTGCCGGCCTGAGGGGGGAGTAGGAGTAGATTCTAATAAGGAATAAGGATAGGAGGAGGAGGAGGAGGAGGAGGAGGAGGAGAAGGACCTCCTCCCCCCTCCAACTCATGGTGGTGGTGGTGATGGTGGAAAACAGGCCCATCCATTAACGGCCTTCGGAACCGACCGTGCAGTGCAACCATCTTGTATTGAGTCGGGCATGTGCCCCTACAGGCAAATGTTCGACCATGGAAAATAAAAAGGCAAAACATAGTATGCTTCCTTGTACTACTAATCATCATACTAAGAAGAATAAGAAATTATAATAATAGTGATAATAACAATCGTAATAAGAATACTGATAATACGACTAATGTTAATAACAACTAAAAACGATAATGATAACGGTCAAACAAAAAAGTCCCCAGCCTATTCTTGACTAGTTTGGGATACTCCTCCTGCAGAAGGGGCATGCCCGACTCAAATATTGCAGCACAGCGTGACGCGGGCGGCAGTGGCCAGGAGGCGCCGAGGCCGCCGAGCACGCGCTGCTGACTCCGGAGCGCGCGCGTCGCCCGCTGGGGGGGGGGGGGCCAGCGCGCACGCGCAAGCCTGTAGGCGGCCTGCCCGAAGGAACGACGAGTACGGTCGGGCTTCCTTGGAGAGGGCACGCGAGAGGACACGCGAGAGGACACGCGAGAGGGCGCGAGAGGGCGCGAGAGGGCACGAGGACACGCGAGGGACACGCGAGAGGGCGCGAGAGGACACGCAAGAGGGCACCAGCACGGTCGGACGTCATTGGAGAGGACACGCGAGAGGGCACGAGACTCATGTTGCTCCCACCGTACTCGAGGACCACATGCCAGAAAGAGGTTCGGGCGCCCAGAAAAAGTATCGAGACAGCGTCGAAGGAGTATCGCCTCCCAGGGCTGGACACGCGAAAACCTGCCAAATTCGGCACTCTCCTGGTGATCAAGGCTAGAGTAGCTTGGAACATCATAACACAAACCCCTCCCGAAGGCCACATCGACATTGGAGTGTAAGAGCGCACGCGTCGCGAGGCGCAGGACACAAGGGTACCCTTGAGCTGGCAAGGTCGGCCTGCCCTGAAGAACGACGAATACGGAACGATGCCCCTTTTTAGGAACAAGGAAAGGCGACACAAACACCAACAGGGCAAGGAGATGCGCGAAGGCAAGGCGGGTCTCCTTGGTGGTGTGGTCCCCCCCTCTCGCTCGAGACATCCACAGTCTCCCCGCTCGGGGAGGTATTGTGGACCTCCTTGCTCGAGGTGGGCCCCCTGGTGGTGTTGGTGTCTCTTCTCCCCCCTCCGACTTTTCTTCCAAGTGAGTCTACGACGTCCGAAGGAACACCAGGGGGGCTCGCCGCCAAAAAGGTGACGCGGAACGCGTGCAAACCAAAGGAAACGACCGAGCCCCTCTTGAAGAGAGCAAACGTTCCTTATTCAAGCCGGATCCTGTATGCGTCCGGGCGACGCCGAGCTTTCGGCCCCCGTGGGGGCCCTGGCCAGGCTCCAGGCTGGCCCAAGAAACAGCTCGGAAAGAGAAGCTGGCTCTCGGAAAGGTCGGCGGCGAGCGAAGGAGGGAAGTGAGAAGGAGAAGGCCTTCTCCGGAGGCGGCGGGGTTTCTCAGATGGCCTCTGGTTTCCTGAGAGCTCTCTGCGTTTTCGGGCAAGGCTTAGGGAGCAT